TTTTTTTTTTTTTTTTTTTTTTTTTTTTTTTTTTTTTTTTTTTTTTTTTTTTTTGATAATTTTTAAATTTAATTTTTTAAAGGATACTATTTTCCGCTAATTTTTTGCATTTTTCTATTGCAAATAAATTTCAATAGACTTGAAACATTTTCTGATTCCGAATTTAATATAATTTTTTCATAAAGCACTTCTATATATACTTTATTTATTACTTCATCATCTATTAAAAGAGATTTAAAATTTTTATAAATTTTTAACATTTCATTAATGTCATACTTATTTAATAGGAATATACAATAATTATATACTTTATTAAATATATTTTTATAATATAAATAAAATTTTTCAAGTTGATCACTGTTATATTTTTGATAAAAAGAATTTTTATCAAAATCTACTAAAGAAATTTGTTCTAAATTAATTTGAAATTCATTTAGTAACATATTAAAAATATAATTTGAATCACTTAAATTTTCCATTTCACTATTTAAATTAATTTTACTTGAATTTCCTGTTTTATCTACTATATATTCATTATTATTCAAGTCGTTTTCTTTTTTTCTTAAATCATCACAATTTTCATTTTTAGTATCACTAAATGTTTTTATACCATTGAAGACATTATTATTTAACTCTTTTTTAGTATCATTAAAAACGCTATTATAAATACTTATGTTCTTTATTTCATCACTTACACTACTTTTTATGTTTTCTGTGTTTTTAAAATTTTTTACATTATTTATTAATTTTTTAAAAAAAATATTATATTTATTTATAAGTTTTTTGTTCTTTAAACATTTTTCCTTAAATAAAAATATATTAAACAAAATAAAAAAATTTAACATAATATATTTATATCCGATTAAGCAATAAGTGAAATTAACAATATCACAATTAACTCTAGAATTAATTAAACTTAATATATATATATTTACATATTCGATTAAATAATTATTAAAATATGTATTCATAGAAATACCAATTGCATATGGTAAAATAAGAAACTCTTTTGAATTTATTTTCATAAATGTATTTATAAACCTTTTTTTTAATTTCTTTACTCTGTTTTTTGCATAATTATACTTTTTATTTTCTTCATAATTTTCACCAATTAATTTAGGATTAGTTTTTATTTTTTCAATTTCTTCAATTATTCTTCTAGAGATTTTTTCTAAAGTTCCCAAATCATATTTTTCAAATTTTCCTAAAAAGAAAAATAATAATTTTAAATTATAAAAGTCAAAAATGTTAGAATTTTCATTAAAATACGTTAATATTTTATTCAACAAAAAATTAAACATATCATTTAATTTATAAAAAGAGTTTATATATTCAATTAATAATTCTTTATTCTCTTCTATTTGCTTATTATTAAAATTTTTTTGTACATTTTCATTTAATTCAGAAATTCCACCATTATCATTTTTACAATTTTTTCTATTAATTTCATCTATTAAATCATTTTTAGGACTCAATTCTTTTGAATTATCAGTTTCAATTATTCTTTTAGTTCCTACCTTTTCTTTATCTGAATTTTTGTATTTAATCAACGAATAAATTAAAATATCTATATTGTTGTGATTATTATATTTGATAATATAATTATATATATTGTTATAAATATGTACATTTCTACTCTTAAAGTTATCTTTAAGATATCTATCAACAATCTTTAATTTAAAGTTATTATCATTATTGTTTAGAATAGATTGAATATTAGTATTGCATATATATTGAAAATGATATAAATATTTAGTGATATTTATTAACTCTTTAAAATTGCAATTAACATACCCATTTATGCTAGAAAAATTAATAGTATTATTTATTAATATACTGTACAAATTAAAAATAATATCCATTCTAAAAAAATTTAGCTTATAAAGGCAACGATATATTTCACATATTAAAGTAGATGTTAACAAATCCTTATTTTTAGGAATTTCATTTAGCAAATTATTTATGTATATCAATTTATTTTTATTTATCACATTGTCATCATCAAAAATTTTATTCTTTTTACTGAATTTAATGATTGCTTGAACAAATTGAGGAGTTTGATTATATTTTACATTTTTTTTAAAGTTATTTTTTGTTAAAGTAATTTTCTCTTTTTTTAAAAAGGAAGGTAATCTTTTACTTACAATTAATGGTGGATCTACCTTTCTTCTTATTTTACTTATTTTCATAATTTTCTTTACTAAAAAAATTTAAGTATTTAAGGAAACATATTTAAAGGTATATTCTTTTTTTTTTATGGAAAATTTGAAATATTATTAAATTATATGCTTTACAAATCATTCTTTTTTTATTTTTAAAATAATAAATTTTTTATACATTCATACTTCAAATTTAATTTCTCTTTTTCATATTTATTTGTTATATTTACATATTTTATGTTAAAATTTATTTTTTCTTTTCTTTCATTTATTTTCATATTACCTTCAAAAATAACATTATACAAACATATAAAAAGATCAACAAAAAGAAAATTGAAAATGTGAAGAATTTAATGTTACCATAATAATTTTATTTTGTATCTACTTAAAAATATTAAACTTTTATTTTTCACATAATAAATTAACAATGAAAAAAAAAAAAAAAAATATGCTAAAAAGAAATAAAATATATAGAAATGATAGGAACAAAACAAAACCTGTAATTTTAAATTTTACTTTATTTTATTTTAAATATTCTTTTTAAATAATTACACAAAAAATTAAAATATTAATCATTTCATTGTTTTGTAGAATATATAATTTATTTAAAAAAAATAAAAAAAAAAAAAAAAAAAAGTAAAACAAATTGACAAAAATTATAATAGTGATACTATTTAAAACATTCAAATTTGTTAAAAAAAAAATAAATTGAGTAAAGTCAAATTAATTTGCATAAGAATTATTTTATTATGTTTTCTTTTTCTTCATATTCAATAACATCCCAAAAGTTTCTGTGAATTTTTTTCCAATTATTGGCATCATAATATTTTGTATCAATATTTCTACACATAAAAAAAAAAAAAAAAATTAAATAAAAAATAAAAATAGATAAAATAAATATAAAATAGAATTTAAATATATATAAGTAATATTATTTTATTCATTTTATTACTTCCATGTATATAAAGCTCTCTCTATCCACATCAAATTAGGAATTTTAACATTATTCATATTCTCATTTTTTACTAAATTATTTATTGATAGCAAATGAGTGTAATTTTTATTATTTATGACTCCACCTAATTTTAGTATTTGATCAATAAAGTCACTTCTCTTTATATCATCAGATAATAAAGATATATTAAAAATACAATCTGTTAAAAAAAAAAAAAAAAAAAAAAAGCGCTTACATAAATATAAGGGAAAATTAAAAATATATTACTTTTGTTCAAATAATAACACAAAAAATAAAGTATATTTATTTTAAAAATTTTCTTTATTATTAGTTTTTTTATAACCTTTTAGAACTTGTTTTCTAAATTCTATTAGTATTGTTCTTACTATTGGATATCTTAAAAAATAATTATATATTTTATTCTCTTCATTTTCTTCATTTATTTTATAAGTTTTGAAATGTTCTAGAATTTTATAAAAAATATTATGTATTTCTTCTAATATGGTTGCTAAATAATATAATTGTTTATCGTTATCTTTAAATTTTGGTTCTTTTAAATTCTTTGGTATAAAAAAATTTTCATAATATTCATTTTTATTTGTTGTTTTTATTCGATTATATAATTTCTCATTTCTTAATTTAAAACAATTTTTAATTACTTTTTTTTTTTTTTGGTTGAAAATTTTATTTTTACTTAAATTTTGAAACTGCAAAAATCTTTTCACTTTTATTTTTTTTACTTTCTTTCCTATTTTATTTGTATTATTCAGAACATTGAATTTATTAAAATTTTTTTTTTTTTCATTTATAACATTATCATAATTTTTATCTAATTCTATTTTTTTTATATTTATTTCATTAATTTTTTCTGTTTCTTTATTTCTTTTTTTAAATTCTTCTTCAAAATAATTATTTAAAAATTCTACTACATATTTATCATACTTTCTATAATTTTTTTCCGATATAAATTTGAAAATAATTTCGTCTTCAAAATAAATATATTTTTCTTCTGTTTTTAATGTAGAAAATGGGATAATATTATAAGATGTTTCATCATCATTTAATAAGTTTTTATTTTTAATATTTTTCTTTTTATTCATTTTTTTTTTTTTTTTATTTTGATTTTTATCAATATCTTTATGAATTTTTGGTAAACTAATGTTTGACGAGTTATTGATATTATTAATACTTTGCTTATCTGAAGATATATTTTTAAAAAGTAATAAATTTGAATTCTTATTTTCATTAATTTCATTTTCTTTGATTTGAATAAAATTCTCATTTTCATGACAATTTGAATTTTCTATCTTCTCCAAATGTACTGTATTCTCTTCCTTTTTTAAAAAATTTTCGCTTTGTAAATAATCCTTTTTTTCTTCTATACAACTATTTTTTTTTGTTTCTTCGTTTTTTTCTTCCTTGATTTCTTTGTGTAAAATATTTTCCATTTCATTGGGTATTCTATTTTGATATGTAGTATTATTTAAACAGAGAAATTCCTTGAATTTCTTTTCTGTTGTCTCATAATTTAAAACAGTGTAATAATAATTATTATCTTCCTTTTGATTAATCACATCATTAATATTATTTAATAAAGAGGGATTATTTTCCTTTTCCCTTAAGTTAATTATATGTAATTTTTTATCATGTATATTATTTTCATAATCGTTATATGAATTTTCAATATTACCTTTATCATTTTTATTTTCATCTATTAATGTATTTATATCTTCATCATTATTTTGTTTACCTATTTCTTCTTTTATATTTTCGCTATCATGTGTTTTATTAAAATCTTCTGAGTCATTGAATATATTTAACTGACAGGAGTTAAATAATTTGGGATCTAATTCAATTTCATTTTCACTATCTGTCTCAAATTCCTTATCTAAATCAATGAAATTATCTTCACTTGATTCAATTGATTCATTATCATTCACATTTATAGAATTGTAATTTTCTAAAATTAAAAAATTCTCATTTTCATTGTTTTTTTTTTTTTCTTTTTCTTCATTAAAATTATCTTCATTAATTTCATTAGTTAAAATGGCCTTATTTGAATTTAATCCTTCATTTTTATGGAAGCTTTGTTTATCATTATTTACATCTTTGGAGTAATTTTGTTCGAATTCCATACTAATATTTAAAGTATTTCTTGTATTTTTAGAATTATTAAAAGAATTATTCAAATTTAAATAATTGTAAAGAATATTATCTTTTCGTGTTGCCTTCAATTGTTCATATTCATTACACTTAAAATTAATAAATCTATAAAGTGTATTTGAAAAATTTAAATAAGATTGAGCTAAAGAAAAAAATTTTGTTAAAAAATAAGGTTTTCTTTTAATATCTTCTAAAAAATTTATTTCAGGAAAAAAATTATAACCATGGACCTTTATACAAGAACTGCTCTCTTTCCATATATAATCACTATCATCAATACATATTGAAACACTTCGATAAGTTGGTAGAATTCTATCCATATGTTTTAAACCATCAACACTATCTTTTCTTGAAAATATCCTATTTCCAAAAAATTTTTTCTGTGGATCTAATAAAAATAAACAAGATTTAGCATGTTCTAATGTTCCCATTGTATATAAATACAATTCAAATTTTTCATTCATCTTTTGTAAAAATTGAATAACTCCTGGTCTTAATTTATAATATATTGTATAAGATCCTTTTTGATATTTTACATTAGTTTTTAACACTGACAGTTCTAATTTTTCAACTTTTTTTTTAATATTTTTGTCATTTAAATTTTCATAATGTATGAACTTTCCATTATGTTTTAATAGATTTATTGTATTAATCTTTTCTAAAAAATTACAATAATTATCGTAACTAGATTTTATATCTTGATGCTTCATATTATATTCCATATCATTTTTTTTTCTTTGAAGTATAAAATATAAATAATCCTCATTAACTTTTCCATTAATTTTTATATCATTATATAAAAAATTTATTTTACTATTATTGTCATTTTCTTTATTATTAGAATTTAGATTATTACTATGTTGTATATTATTATTAATACTTGCATCTGTATCATTATTTGTAATGTCATCTCTATTTATATCATTTTTTTTTCCAAGATAAACGTCTTTTTCACTATTAGAGATTTCATGAACTAATGTCTCTTTATTAAAATCACATTTAGTGTTATTTACATTATACAATTGGTTATTTAGCTCTTCTAAATAATTCATTTCTTCCTCTAAATTTTTATCAAGATCCGTTGTTATATTTATTATTCGACAGTTCATATTTACCGACAAAAGAAAAAAGGATGCATGCAATAATGTATTATCTAAATCTAAAACTAAACAAAGTTTTTTATTTTCAATTACATTTCTAATTCTTTCTTTTTCTAAATCTATAGCCTTATCTGAATTTATAAATAACTCATTTTCGTTTGTTAAAAAACCAGGTGATAAAAAATATTTTTGTTCCTCCTTATTTTTATTTATCTCTTCTTGACTTAAAAGACAATTTGTGCATAAACCAGAAAAAATTATTTCATGATTACATTTGGTATCACTAATTTCACATAATACTTCATTAGGATCATTAATATATATATATTCTTCTTTTTCTAAATTAAAATCATTTTTTATAATAGTTATTCTTCCATGACTATTGCTTCGTAATGCAATATAGTTATTTTTTATTTCATAATTCTTTCTATTATTTAAAATAAAATTTATAACATTTTTTTTTTCATTTAATTTTTTATTATTTATCATTTGTTTTTCATCTTTTATATTATTAAGGTTACTATTGGTATTATTATCTCTATTATTTGTATTTGTTTCATTTTTGATGTCATCATTTTCATCATTTATATTATTAATTACATCACTTAAATGAGGATTTTTTTCATTTAAATTATTTTGATTTTTTATGTAGTTGCTTTCATCACTTGAATTATTGGTTTCATCTTTTAAATAAATACTTTTATCATTTAATGGATCATTTTTATTACATAAATTATTACAGTTATGTGAATCAAAGAATTCATTCTTGCTTTCAATAATAAAAGCAATTATTTGATTAAAACTAACTACTGAATTATTATCTACCGTCCATTTTAATTTACAAGGCAAAGTAACATTTTTTGGTAAAAAGATTTTTTTCTTTTCCATCAAAAAAAAAAAAAATTCAGAATCAAAAATAATATGATCAGATTTAAATTTATAAAATTACATAGTTTAAGTAAAAAAAAATTAAGATTGAGATAATTCATCAGCCAAAATATAATAAAAATATAAAAATGAGAAAAAAAAAATTTATAAAAAAAAATATTATTGCATATATTGTAAGAAAATATGATTAAAATTAAAAGTTTTTTCTTAAATGTATTTATATATATATATATATATATATATATATATATATATATATATATATATATATATATGCCTATGGATAAATTTTAAATTTATTCTTATAAATTTTGAAGTTCATTCAATTACTGCATTTTTTCAAATATTACTTTAAAAATACAGAATTGTATGATATATATAAAACTTTTCAAAATACTTTAATATGCTTCAATTTTTTTTTTTTTTTTTTTTTTTTTTTTTTTTGAGCTTTTATATTTTTAAATATATGCTGTTTTCTAACATTTTTCTATTTTTTATTTTTTTAATAATTTTTTTTTACTTATGTATATAATAATGGACTATATTGAACTTTCTATATTTAAATACATTGTATGATACTTGTTTAAAAAAAAAAAACTATACACAAAAGATAAAATTCTTAAGATCATACTACTGGTTTTTGTTTTCTATAATTTAAAAATGAACAATAAAAATGTTTTTTGGTTCTACAATATTTAAGATAATTAAAAATATTAAGCTTTTTAAGAATTATAAATTATATTATTTAAAACATGAAGTTTGAAATTTTTTTTATTAATTATTATTTAGAGAAAAAAAAAAAAAAGAAACATAAATCAACACTAAGGAAGTTTTGTATATTTAATATAAAAATTGTTAATTTCCTTTATTTTTAATTTTATATAAGCTTTATTAATTAAAAAGAAAAAAGATAAAAATAGTATATGCATATATAAAGAAATCCTGACTACCTTTATAGGAATATAAAAATATATTTTATGATTTTTTATATTAAAAGCTACTAATTAAAATTTTATACTATAGAATCAGTTGCTTAGAAAAAAGAAATAAATTTTTGTAACTATATTTTTTCATATTTAGATATGTTTAAAAAAAAAAAAAAATTTCAAAAAGAAACTCATAAATTTCGTTTTACAAAATATTTATCAAGCATAATTTACCATAATAAAAAATGATAAGTAATTTTTCATTATTGTAGATTAATTATTTTTATATAAATTTTAATATTAATGTTTATTATAATATAAAATTGGTATTTTTTTTTTTTTTTTTTTTTTTTTTTTTAAATCAAATTTGAATTTATTTTTAAGTAGAATAAAAATAATGAATTCATTAAAAAAAAAAAGTATGTTTAAGAAATGGTTAAATTTTTATTATCTAAAATTTAAGAAAATTTTTTTCATAAAAAATATTTAATAAATTTTTTTTTTTTTTTTTTTTCTAATATTTTAAATAAATTATTATTTCATTGTTTTTCATAAGTAATTTTTTTTTAATATTATTTTTATTATAACATTGTTTTTTAAATATTTATTATAAGGAGATAAATTTTAAGTTTAGAATTTTGAAATATAAAAAAGAATATTCCATAATAAAAAAAAAGTAGATTGTAATTCAATGGAGGGTGACTATGATAAAATATTAGTGATCAATTTTGGGACTCAATATTTTCATCTAATTATAAAACGTTTAAATAACATAAAAATATTTAGTGAGACGAAAGATTTTAATATTGACTTAAAAGATATAATAGATTTAAATATAAAGGGAGTTATTTTATCAGGGGGTCCCAAATCTACCATTGAACCAGGATCTCCTCATTTAAAAGATGAAGTATTTGAATACTTTTTAAAAAACAAAATCCCAATTTTGGGAATTTGTTATGGTATGCAAGAAATAGCATTAAAAATGAAGGGAGAAGTAAAAAAATCCAAGAATTGTGAATATGGTTCTACAGATGTGCAAATAATAACAACAGAAAATGCACATGATGATAGATATAAGAATTACAAATTAATGGATAATTGTGATTTATATGATAACATAAATGATAAAAAAATTACTGTATGGATGAATCACACGGAAGAAGTATCAAAAATTCCTGATAGTTTTTATTTAACAAATTCTAGTGAGAATTGTTTAATTACATCTTTTTATGATAAAGAGCATAATATTCATGGGGTTCAATATCATCCAGAAGTGTATGAATCACTTGTAGGTGAACAGTTATTTTTTAATTTTGCTTATAAAGTATGCAAATGCAAAAAACAATTTGACCCTATTAGATATCATGAATTAGAATTTAAAAAAATTGAAAAGCATGCACATGATCACTACGTTATAGCTGCAATGTCTGGTGGAATTGATAGTACTGTTGCTGCTGCTATTACATATAAAATATTTAAAAATCGCTTTTTTGGTATTTTTATAGATAATGGATTATTAAGAAAAAATGAAGGAGAAAATGTATTTTCTTTTTTAAAAAAACTATTCCCTGATATGAACTTAACAAGAATAAATGCATCAGATAATTTTTTAAAAAATCTAAAAGGAGTAACAGAACCAGAAAAAAAAAGAAAAATTATAGGAAAATTATTTATTGAAGAATTTGAAAAGGCAGTCACAAATATGAACATAGATGTTAATTATACTTATTTATTACAGGGAACTTTATATCCAGATGTAATAGAAAGTAAATGTTCCAAAAATATATCTGATACTATTAAAACTCATCATAACGTTGGTGGATTACCAACAAATTTAAAATTTAAATTATTTGAGCCTTTTAGATATTTATTTAAAGATGATGTTAAAAAATTAGCTCAAGAATTAAATCTCCCCAAAGAAATCATAAATAGACATCCATTTCCAGGACCAGGTTTAGCAATTCGAGTTGTAGGAGAAATAGATGAACATAAATTAAATATCTTAAGAGAAATAGATGATATTTTCATAAAAGATTTAATACATTATGGTTTATATGATGAAATTAATCAAGCATTTGCCGTATTACTAACTACAAAATCAGTAGGAGTTAGAGGAGATGCAAGATCATACGAATATGTGTGCGTCTTAAGAGCAGTTAAAACATCTTCTTTTATGACTGCTAATTGGTTTAAAATTCCATATGATATATTAGAAAAAATTTCAACTCGTATATTAAGTGAAGTAAAAGGAATTAATAGAGTTTTATATGACATTTCTTCAAAACCTCCTTCAACAATAGAGTTCGAATAATGAAAATAAAAAAAAATAAATTAAAATATAATAATGAAAAAATAAAATTTACATAAGATACATAACAAAATTTTTTTAAATGTTTTAAAAATTAATTAAAATTAATTTTAAAACTTCTTTAAATAAATAGTATTCCTTTGTTTAAAAATGTTTTATGTACACTGTTTTTTATATTATTATTATTTTATTCAAAATATCTAATTATATATATATTTATATGTAATACTTATATTTTTATATCTAGATTTTAGTTTTAATAACTAAACTTATCATTTTATTAATTAAATGTTTGGACGAAAGTAAAAATATTTAATATTCACAGAAAATAATATTCCAATTTTTATATTTAAATATATTAGAATTTTTATAGAATTATTAATATATAATCTAATAAAAAAAAAAAATTCATTTTTTAAATGTAAATAACTATTTTTATAGTAATTTTAAAACATTATCTTTTGAAAAAGCTATTTTCTTAATAATATATTAATACTAATGGCACTTTTACTTAAAAATTATGTTATTATTACTAATAATAAATACTTAAAAATACAAAATTATATTCATCTAATTAAATACAATTTGGAACACATAAAAAGATAAATTTATATAAAACACTAAAAAAAAAAAAATTTTAATTTGAATTTAAGAATTTTTGCTTACTATATAACTATAGAAAAAAAAAAAAAATTTAAGTTTTTTTCTTTTCTTTTATTTCATATGAGAAAATACATTAAGAATTTGTATTGTAAGGAATGGTTATGTATTTTTACACTTTCAAATAACAGTGTCGTTAAAATCTTGAAAAAAAATTTTATTTTAATGAATGATATTATAATTTTTATTTTTTTTAAAACTTTCAAAATTTATACATTAATATACAACTTAAAAAATTCTTATATTTTTTAAATATGTTAACTTTCATTATTATTTATGAATTAAATGTTTGTTAAAATTGGGATATACATCAAGTGTGCAATTGTAAAAAACAATTTATGTGTATATATTTAAACTTGAAAATTTAGAAAAAAAATTTCTTTTTCTAAATTAAAAAAAATTAGAAGAAAAAAAAAAAAATAAGAGAAAAAGAAAGAGTAAGAGAAAGAGAAAGAAAATGAAACAATGAAATGAAAAAAGATAATTAAAATGAAATAATTTTTTTTTTTTATTTTTCTTACATTGTTGATTTATTTTAATACGTATACATCTACAAGCACTATAAAAAGAAAATATAAATACAACTTAAAAGAAATATGTTATTCTTATAATTTTTTTTTTAATTTTTTTTTTTTCAACATTTTAAATTAAAAAAAAATTATGATACATTGAAAAGTATATATATTTAAAATTATTTCAATTTTTTTTTTTATATTTTTTATCAATAAAAGGAAAATTACTTTTTATAAAATAAATATTACATTAAATAATATTATAATATATTGTATAACATAATATAAATATTTATTTATTCTAATATCATTTATTATATGTAAGAATACAGCACTTTAATATTTTTTTTTTTTTTTTTTTTTTTTTTTTTTTAATTATTAAGATCATAATCTTATTCAGACTATTTCTACAAATAGCGTATATACAGAAAGGAAAAAAGTGCGTCATAGAAAATGTATTAATGCAATCATTGCAATTAAAAAAAAAATGTAAACATTATAATTTTATACTTGTAAAATTAATAATAAGTTTAAATTTTAATAATTATTTCTTTTATTTATTTATAATAAATGTGTAAGATTAAAATAAGTAATAATGTTTAAAGAAAATTTATTTTAATATTCATATTTTAAGAATAATTTCTATATATGAAAACTTGAGAAATTATTTATCTTTTAATTACCTGAAATATAAAAATAATTTTAAAAAATATATATTTTAATTTTTTTATATTTTAATATTTTATTTTTTTCCTCATTTCTTGAAACTTCATAAAATATAATTTTTTTATTTAGGTATGCACCTTAATCTTATATTCGTGAATATTTGTTTTTATCTACTTATATAACTTATTTTATTAAGATTTTTATCTTATATTTTTTTTTCATAAGTATATTTGTTCATTTATACAAAAACGTTTTTTATATTTATCTAATTATTTATATATTTTTTTGTTCTATTTTTTTTTTTTTTTTAAGACAGATATATTATTATTATTATTATTATTATTATTATTATTATTATTATTATTTTTATTTTTTTTTCTCTTTTTTTAAAACATGAATATTGACAAAATAAATAATAAACAACTTTTAGATAGCCTTGAATGTTGGAATTTATTTAAAAAACCAAAATATTTAATTGAGGAAACAAATGAAGTTACAAATAAATGCGACGAGAAACAATTAGAGCACTTATTTTTAAAAAGATTAAACTTTGGAACAGCTGGTTTAAGAGGTAAAATGGGTGTTGGATTTAATGCAATGAATGTTATTACTATAATGCAAACTACTCAAGGATTATGTACTTATTTAATGAATACATATGGTGTAAATTTGTGTAAAAATAGAGGAATAATATTTGGTTTCGATGGAAGATATCATTCAGAATCTTTTGCCCATGTAGCTGCAGCTGTTTGTTTATCAAAAGGATTTAGAGTTTATTTATTTGGACAAACTGTTGCAACTCCTATTTTATGTTATTCTAATTTTAAGAAAAATTGTTTATGTGGGGTTATGGTAACAGCTTCTCATAACCCTAAATTAGATAATGGTTATAAAGTGTATGCTGCAAATGGAGCTCAAATAATACCACCAGTAGATAAAAATATTGCCACTTGTATATTAGAAAATTTGAAACCATGGAATGATGTTTATGAATATTTAAATGAAGACTTTTATTTAAAGGATACTTCATTAGCTGAAGATATTTATTACGAAATGTATGATTCTTTTATGTATGATTTAAAACATGAATTTAATTTTAATTGTCATCGAAATTCACGTACTAAATTAGCTATAGTCTATTCACCTATGCATGGAATTGGTAGAAAATTTGTTCAAGGTATTATGCATGTAGTTGGGTTCAATAATCTACTAACTGTACCACATCAAGCTTTACCAGATGCAGATTTTTCTACTGTCTCATTTCCGAATCCTGAAGAAAAAGGAGCTTTAGATATGGCTATTCAATTAGCTGATGCAGTAAATAGTCCTATAATAGTAGCTAATGATCCAGATGCAGATAGATTTGCGTGTGCTGAAAAATTTAATAATAAATGGAAGATATTTTCAGGGGATGAATTAGGAATATTATTTGCATATCATTTAATGAAACAATATGAAAAAAAAAATATAGATAAATCTAAACATGTATTTATTTGTACAGTTGTTTGTTCAAGAATGTTAAAGAAATTATGTGAAAAATATGGATATCATTATGATGAAACGTTGACAGGATTTAAATGGTTAATTAATAAAGCCATAGAATATGACAACAAAGATTATACTACACTATATTGTTATGAAGAAGCTTTAGGTCATGCATTAACACGTCATGTTAGGGATAAATGCGGTATATCTGCTTTAGCTTATTGGATAGAAATAGCTGTTTATTTATATGAAAATAATTTAACGTTTCACGAATATTTAGAAAATGTTAGAAAAGAAATAGGATATTTTGTTAGTAATAATGGATATTATATTGTTTTAGACCCTAACGATATTGTAAGTATTTTTAATGAATTTAGATGTAATGGAACTTATAAAAATGCTTTAGGTTCCTATAAAATTGTTCACATTAGAGATTTAACGACAGGATATGATTCTTCAACACCTGATAAAAAATCTTTAATTGCTGCAACACCTGATTCTCAAATGATCACCCTCCAATTTGAGAATACAGCCATTTTAACTATAAGGGCAAGTGGAACAGAACCAAAAGTAAAATGGTATGGAGAAATTTCCAGAAGTACTTATGAAGAAGCTAGAAGAGATATTGATGAACTTATAAATAATGTTATGGATTTATTTATGCAACCAAATAAATATAACGTCAAGAAAAATTAAAAAACAATAAAAAATACTACATAATATATAATAATATAAAAAAAAAAAAAAAAAAATAAATGTCTCAATAAAAAATAAAATATCATAAAATGTAGCATAAGATTTATATAATTTTTTCCATAAATGCAATAAAAAATTATAAAAAAAAAAAAAGATATAAATAATTCAAACTTAAAATTATTTATGCATAGTTTTAAAACAGTTTTTTTTTTTATTTTTTTTTTTTTTAGTGATTTAGATATATTATTTAAAAATATTAAATTATAATATATATTTTTAACATTCAAAGTAAAAATTTATAGATATTTTATAAAATGAAAAAATCATAATATTAATAAAAATTGATATTCTCAAATTACTAAATAAAAATTATCATTACTTATTATATAAACCTTCATAAAAGTATTGTAATAAACCAATAAATCATCATATATAAAATTTTCTGAACTAAAAAAAAAAGTTATTACAATACATTGATATCTTATATATATTTTATCTTTTTTTTAAATATTTTTTTTTCATGTTTTAAATATTTTCTTGAGTTATTAAAAATTACATCTTATTATAAATGCAAAATGTGAAATAACATCTTCTGTAATCATAATTAATCAAAGAGTTCAAAAAAATTTAATATACGTTTGTATATGTTAATAAATGCACAATATTCCATTTTTAACATAAGAAGGAATTAAATAAAAAAAATAAAATAATTTTTTTTTTAATATCGAGATAAAAATTTTGGAAAAATAGATAAAATTAATAAAGAAAAAATGTTTAATATTTTATATATGCATATAAAAATTTTTTAGTTTTATAATTATTTAGTAATACAATTTATATAGATAAATAAAGATAATGTATTTTTAAAAAAAAAAAAAATCCCTTAAAATATTTTGCTTTATGCTGTGGAAAATGTTAAAAAAAAAATTTTGCTAAAAAAATATTAAATTTTTAATTATCTTGTCGTAAAATTTAAATATGTAATTGCTTTTCATAATATTACTGTTTTTTAAAATATCTTTTAAATTAGCTGATATATTGTAATATATATCTTTTTTTTTATTTAAGTAAATCATAAGATACATTGAAATAAATTTCTACAGATTTTTGAAGAAGTTTACATAATTATTAAAATTATTTCATAAATAAAAATAATATATTTTTTATTCATAAATATTTTCCATATTTTTATAATTATATAAAAAAAGAAAAATGATGAAAATCCCAAACAAGTAGGAAAAAGATTAAAAAAATAAGAAAATAAAAATGAATAGCATCTTTTGTATTAGATATATTTTTTTTTTTTCCATCTTCCTCAAAAGTCTTATGAAATTAATATTATGTCTATATAGAAATCAAATCTTACAATAAATTGCATTTATATATATATATATATATAAAATTTTATATATATATATTTTTTTTTTAATTTTAAAATATAACATTTATTTTTTATATAGTCCAGGAGCAGGTGAAAACGCTCTTGAACCAATATACATAAAGGATGATGATGGATATGATATTGATGCATTTTTAGTACCTGTTCATTACAAAGTATAAAAATATTTTTAAAGAATAATTTTATGTTTCATTTTAATTTATTGAATTTGTGTTTTATTTTATATATATGTTATTTTATTCTTTTTTTTTTTTTTTTTTTTTTTTATGTTTAGAATTATATTACAAAAGTACTAATTCCTAATGGTGTATTAAAAAATAGAATAGAAAAATTGGCTTTTGATATAAAAAGAGTATATAAAAATGAAGAATTTCACATAATTTGTTTATTAAAGGGATCAAGAGGTTTTTTTAGTGCATTATTAAAATATTTAAATAGAATTCATAATTATAGTTCTAGTGAATCTTCAAAACATTTATATGTAGAACATTATGTAAGAGTGAAATCATATTGTAATGATAAATCTTTGGATAGATTAGAAATAGTTAGTGAAGATTTATCATGTTTAAAAGATAAACATGTTTTAATTGTAGAAGATATAATAGATACGGGAAAGACACTCTTAAAATTTTGTGATTATTTAAAAAAATTTGAAGTGAAAACAGTAGCAGTTGCATGTTTATTTATTAAAAGAACACCTTTGTGGAATGGATTTAAAGCAGACTTTGTTGGATTTTCAATACCAGATGGTTTCGTTGTTGGTTATAGTTTAGATTATAATGAGATTTTCAGAGATCTTGAACATTTATGTTTAGTTAATGAAGAAGGTATAAAAAAATTCAAAGATGTAAAAATTTAAGATACAATTTTCAATTATTTTAATTAAACAATATTATGAAAAAAGTTTTTTAAAAGGAATTATAAATATAAAAAATTGAGAGTTTTAAAATATATTAAAATTTGATAGCAAAAAATTATCAAATTTTTATAATTTACATAAACATCAAAATATTATAATTCAGAGGCACAAATATTTTTTAATTCAGACCTATAAAAAATGTATAGTTCTTTTAATTTTTAAAAATACAAAAAAAAAAAAAAATATAAAAATAATACAAAAATAAATAAAAAAAAAAAAATTGAAAAAAAGATTAATTGTAGAAAATGCATAAAAAATAAATATCACTGCAAAGAGATTTATATATATATATATATATATATATCCCTTAGAGATAAGTCCCATTTTTTATTAAAAAAAGAGAAATTTTTGAATGAAATAAATTATATTTGTTTGATCATAATTTTACAATTGTTTTATATTTTTATTTAATTATAAAAGTATAAAAAAAAAAAAAAAAAAAAAATGAATGAATGAATGATATTTATTAAGTTTATTATAAAATACATATTCTTAATATATGAAAAACCTTATTTATGAAAGAAGAAATATTTACATTTTTAATTAAAACCATCTATTGTTTTATGATAATTATAAATATTCTAAACTAAAATATTTATTAATTTTTTTTTTTTTTTCTATTAAATTTTATATGGAAAATTGGAGCATTTAACATAATAAAAAAATAATGTATCATACATTGACATATTTTATATAGATTGTCCTTATAAAAATTTTTATTTTTTTAAATATTTTAAATAATTATAATTCTTTTTTTTTCAACTTTTATATAATTTCATCATATTTTTTTAAGATTTTCTTAATTATTTTCATAGAAAAACTAGATCACAAAAAAGATAACATATTTTTAAAAACACGAAATAGTTGTATTTTAAAAATATTTTCAAAGAAAATATAAAGAAAAAAATTTCATAAAAGTTTCCCTTATACCTTTTATTTTTTGGAAAATTTATATTAATAAATCTACAGAGAAAAAATATTTTATGAAAAAAATCAAAAACTGTTAGTTTCCTCTATTAAAATAAATTTATTTTTTGTGATGTCGTTGTACATTTAAAAAATATCTTTCATTGACTTGCTTTAGTAAACTTTTTTCATATATTAATTTTTTTTATTATTGTCATTTATATTATAAAATAGAGATGATTTTTTTTTTTTTATATATAATAATAAAAAAGAAGAAAAATAAAATATGTGAATTGTTCACAAATTCATAAATACATAAAGCTAAAAAGTATTCTATTGATTATTTTTTCTTATCTAAATAATATAGGGAAATATAAATATCATATTTAATCATTAAAAAAATCATCACTTTTTTTAATAAATGTTTGAAACATTATAAAAGAAATTTTATTTATATTTTTAATCTTTATATAGAAAAATAGCTACAATATCTTAAAATTTTTTTATAACTTTTTAACTTTATAATAAAATCAAAAATGTTATGGAGATAATACATAATGTTTTTTTTATTTTCGTAATTTCATAAAATCATAATAAGAAGAATAAGACATACATTTTTACGTTGATTTTAAATGAAATTTTCAACTTTTAATTTTTATTAAAAAAAAAAATATACAAAGTTAATTAATCTAAAAGAATGCAATAGAAAAAAAAAGAAAATTTATATTATAGTTTAAATTATTATCAAAACATATATATCATAAAAGTAGGAATAAAAAAATTTTTTTGTGACATTAATATAATGAAGTAATTTATATTCATTTTCCAATACAATAATAATAAGAATGATACTAAAATAAGTATAATTGTAATAATATATTGTCCATTAAGAGGGATTTACAAAAATAATTTTTATCATAATATGTATTCATTCTTCCTTTTTATAAGTTATTACAACTTTTATTCTATTTCTTTTCTTATAGAAAGTAATATTTGTACATACGTTTAAAGAATAATTATTACTGGATCAAAATTTTAAGAACATATTAAAATATTTTAATATATTATAAAAATGTTAAAATAATTCTAAAATAATATAGCATGAAATTTTTATAAATAAAAATAATATAAAACATCAGAAATGAGAATAAGTATGATAAATTAAAATTATTTTTATGTAGAATATAAAAAGTTAAAGTAAAAATAATAAAAACATAAAAATACTAAATAAATTCTATAAATAATTATATTTTCTTCCATTACATATATTAAATTTAAAATTTCACTTTTGTATAAAAATTAACTAAATATTAAATTCTAAATGTAACTAAATAATAATAATATTGTTGATGTATAAATCTCCTCAGAACATCTAAAATATATATAGAATTATAATTATTTCTATAATATTTAACTAAAATATTAAAAAAAAAAGAGATAAAATGTTTCTATCAATATACATATCTACGTTATAAATATCAATTATATATATATACATTCACTATAATTTTTTTTTCAATTTCAAATTTCTTATTATTTCAATAAAAATTACATTAATAAGAAATAAATTTTTAATTATTTTATTTAAATTTTTCATTTCTACTTTTATTTATATATACTAATAATCTTTTTTTTTTTAATAAACTAAAAAATTGAATTTCCATATTCTGTTATATATTAAAAGACCTTATATTTTATGATCTGATTTATCTGTAACGGTAGAAATGTTAATAATGCTTTAAATATGAAAAAGAATAAAAAATAACATCAAGTATAAGAAGAAAAAAGATCATTTAAATTTGGTGTTATGAATATATTTGGACAATGTGTTAGATAAAATTTTAGAGTTATATAATAATCTTTGTTAAGGAAATTACATATAAATATTTAAAAATATAAGATTGTGAATTTCTTTTTTTATAAAATTTATGCGTAGTCTTTATAATTTTTATAATAATTTATTAAGTATTAAGAAAAAAAAAATATTTAAAAAAAAAAATTAAAAAGAAATATATAAAATACACAATTTAAAATTTTTTATATACTAAAAATTTTTTTTTAAATTAATAATTGATCTAATTTGTAAAGTGAATTTATTATATAAATCTCATATACATAAATATTTATCAGAAAATTAATTTATACGTATAATTTTTAATTAAAATAAAAAAAAAAAAAAAATTAAAGTTTATATAGTTTAATCTTTTATAGAAATTTAAAAATACTTATATTAAAAAAAAAATATCATACCCATTTTTTTTTTTTTTTTTTTTTTTTTTTTTTTTGTACGTGCTAACTTTCACATAATTTTTTTTAATAAAAAAAAAATTAATAAAAATTACATTTTATGAAATATATACTTAATAAAAGATAAAAAGATTTTAAGGTAATTGTATAAATTAAAATGTATTTTTATTTTAGCAAAAATTTCTTTATATTTAAACTTACAGAAGGGATTATATTATATTAAAATTGTTTGTATTTACTAAAATATTTTTATACAAATAAAACAAAGAAAAAGAAAAATATTGCATTAAAACGTCATAAAGAAAACTTACTTATTGACTTTATTAATGTTCTTATAAGAATTATTATAGTTATCTTCCTGTTATTTTTGTTTTAATATAATACTTAAAAAGTTTATTTTTAAAATTATTAATTATTTAGTTAATATATGAAGCAAAAAAAATAATATATTTTTTTTTTTTAATTTAATATTTCAGAACCTCTATTTAAAAAAAGAAAAAAAAAAAAAAAAAAATTATAAATTTAATAATGAATTAAGTCGTACAAATATTTAATTACAAAGATGTCTTTGCATAAAGAAATTTGTAAATACATTATAAAATGTGGAAATAAATCAGTACCAAAAATTCAATATGAGGCAACAAAAAAAAAACCATGTAAAATAACTGACTTTTATAGAAAATATATTTTCCCATATTATTTTAAGTATATTAGAGCACCTTTTGAAAGATGGCAATATTGTGCAACTACTAAATTTTTAAGAGAGCATGGTAACATTAGAAAATAAATATATATATTATTTTAGTAGAATCAGAAGTTATAACAATTAACGAAATTTATATATATATATATAAAGAAGAATAAAACAAAATAAATAAAAATTGGCATATAAAAATATATCTAACTAAATTAATTTATAATACCCTTTAAAAATATATAAACTTTTTTTTTTTTTTTTTTTTTATAGGATTAATGTATGACGATATGTATAGTGATAAAGATCCTGTTATTGAAAGAGCTTTATCTTTATTACCAAAAGATATACAAATAAAAAGATATAGAAGAATGTTAAGAGGAACTCATTTAAATTATTTAAGGTTGTTATTACATCCATCAGAACAAAATTATGATCCTTATATACCATATCTAGCACCATATATAGAAGAAGCAAAATTTCAACTTCAAGAAGAAGAAGAGTTATTAGGTTATCACCCATATGATAGAAGGTTATATTCGGGAGGAACTACTGGATTTGGAGATTTAGAACCAGGATTACATTTTCTTGTTTCAATACCAAATGTATATGGTGCAGCTATTCCACATATGAAAAAAAAATAAAAGATACATATTTACACATTATGCATATATATATATATATATATATTAACTAATACGAATGAAATACACAAATAAATTCATGAAGATATACACATATTATGTATACACATAAAAATATAAATACACATAAATATGTGAATATAAATATGTGCATATAAATATGTGAATATAAATATGTGAATATAAATATGAGAAATTATACAATTATATACAAATGTACGTTTATATTTTAATATATAATGAAACATTAAAAAAACTAACTTTTTTTTTTTTTTTATCCTTTAACTATATTTTTTATACAAATTAAAAATTTTTTTTAATGTAAAAAGTTTTAAAAAGAAATGTATTTTTTAAATTATTAAGATATAACAAAAAAAGAAAAAAAAAAAACAAAAAAAAAAAACTGAAAAATATTAAATAAGTATTTTTTAAAAATTAAATAAAAATATATATATATATATATATATATATATATATATATATATATATATATATATATATATATATACACGTATAAATATATTCTTGTATGAATATGTATTTATATTTTTTTAAAAACTATCAATTAAAATCTTAAATATTTATTTAAATTATTTAATACATACGACAGCTATTTTTTATTAATCCAAATAAAAAATATTAGAAATGATAACAAAAAAAAAAAAAAAAAAAATTAATATACATAATCTTTAAAAACAAACATAACAATAATAATATATTAAACAAAAGAAAATTAAGAGAATGAAAAAAAGTGAAGAGAGGTCTTTTCAAATAAATATGTTTAATATTTTTATATGAGGTAAAATGTTAACTTTTTTAGAATGAATATTATTAATATAAATATGATTATTATGTGATAAAAATTCAGGACGTAAAATTCTAAAATTTAAGACACTCAAATTTTAATTTTTTTTTTTTTTTTTTTCTTGTAAAAACTACTTTTCTTGAACATAAATCAATTTGCTAATTTTTGAATTAAGTACAATTACTGTCATACCTAATTTTTGTAATGAGAAATATAAACTTTGACATTCAGAACCAATATCTTTTAAGTAAACATTTTTTGATTCTATCTTTATATATTGAGATGATAACTTTGATTCTGGGATAAATTCTAAAATTTTCAATATATGAGAACAAGCAATTTTTAGGAAACTTAATGATTTTTCCTTTAAGTAAATATGAATTAAAAAAAAAAAAAAAAAAAGAATATTAGTAAATAAGCTTCAATAAAAATTTATTAATATAAAATGAATGAAGAAAAATTTTTTTATATTAATATAGAATTTTATAATGATATATTTATCTAATTTACTATATTTTTTTTTTTTTTAAAGAGAATATAAAATGCAATTATATTAGTATCATATTTTATTTATTTTTATGATAATGAATTAATAAAATTACCAGTGAATTGTTTGTTGAAAGAATTTCATCAGTTAATGTTTTATATGAAGGAATGAAATTTCCATCTCTATCATGAGTACCATATTCCAACAAATTGCTTTTAGTGATATTTTTCTCAACAGGTGTATTTTCATCTTTTTTTTTTATATTACTTTCATCATTATTTTTTTCGCTAGAATTCTCTTCTTCATTTTTTTTTTCGTTTGAATTATCTTCTTCATTTTTTTTTTCGCTTGGATTCCCTTCTTCATGCTTTTTTTCTGTTGAATTATCGTCTTCATGCTTTTTTTCGTTTGTATTATCTTCTTCATGTTTTCTTTCTGTTGAATTTTCTTTATTCTTTTTTTCACTTACATTATCTTCTTCATGTCTTTTTTCATTTGAACTATTTTCTTCATTTTTCTTATCATTTGAGCCATTTTCATCATTTTCTTTCTCTTTTTTTGAATTACCATCTTTATTATCTTTTTCTTCATCATTTTCTTTTTTTGTCATAAGAAAACTATAACTTCCATTTTCTTTATTATTTAAGTGATTTATATCAAGTGATGTTACATTTTTTTTTCTTTTGAAACTTATAAATTTAGAAGCTTTAACTTTTTCAATCCATATTTTGAAAATACAAATAATTAAAAAAACAAATAACTTTTTCATTATTAGACATATAAATATATTATATATTTTTAATTGTGCATTAATAAAATAATGGTAAATAATTATGAAAAATATATATTTTTTTGTATTATCACAGGAATTCTTATTTTATAGAGAAATATTGATACTATATTTTTCTATTGTTTTTTACAATATGAAAGAGTATTTTTGTATTTATATAAAGTTACATTTTATTAAGAATTTTTTTATTTTAATTATCTAATTTTACAAAAAATTTTTTTCTCTTTTTTCAATAAGGATTTATATTGAAAGAAGTTATTTTAATATCTTTGACTTCATTTGAAAGTTCAAATATTAATGGACAATAGTCAATTTTTAAAACACAAGAAAAATCTTAAAACTAGATATATTCTATGTATCTTAAAAAAAAAATTAAAAAAAGAAATAAAAATATTTTTATAATGTAACTGTTCTGTTGTGGTAATTATGTGTGTGTTATAAATTTAATATTTTGAATTTTTTTTTTTTTTTTTTTTTTTAATGCTGTAAGCAGGTGCATCAATTTTCGAAATATTTAATCTATACATTTAAGTTTATAAAAAAATATTAGAATAAAAAATATATTATTAAAGTAATAATAAAATAATATCTTTAATAATAACTAACATGCTTAATAAATTGATAAGTTTTCCTTAATGTATTTTTAATTAGTTTCATATATAATTTCACTAATTTTTTTTAAATTTATTTTTATTTAATTTTTCTATATTTTATGCTTTATTTTAATTTAAATACATAAAAAAAAAAAAAGAGAAAATAATACAAAATAAAATGAAAATAAAATAAAAATAAATAAAAAAATAAATATGCATAATATATAAATATATATATGAACAAACAAATAAATGAAAGAAACACATATTAAAAAAAAAAAAAAAAAAAAAAAAAAAGGGAAAAAAAGATAAATTTACAAAATTATAATTATAAATTTTCAAAGTAAAATGACACAGTAATGTAAGAAATATAAAATAATTAAAAATATATTATATATAACATTCTTACTTTTCCTTAATCTTAAATTTTGTAATTTATTTTTAAAAAATATAAGAAATATTATAAATAATGAGCTATATAAATAATTTTCAAAGAGTATTATATGCATCTAGGTTTATGAGAGTATTTGGTAAAATATAAAATATAAAAAATATTTAATTAACTATTAATTTATTTATTTTCCCATCTTCATTTATTATTATTTAAAATTAATTTCAGTATTTTTATATTTCTATATTTAGTTTATTATTTCTGTATTTATTTTACTATATATACATATATATATTATTGATTGAATATTAATTTAGGTAAGTTCAAAAGAGCACAATTAAGAGAAAAACCACAAAGAAAAATAGGGCCATTTTGTAACCCTGTAAAAAGATTAGTGAGATTAAAAGAAAAAGAAAAATTATTTTGTGAAATTGGTCTACCACGCATAATTCCTAGAGCAAAAATAGTAACAAAAGAAAAAATCTTAGAAGCAATAAAACCACCAAATGTTAGTAAAGAAGTTTTAGATAGAAGATTAGAATTTTTATTATCAAATGAAAGTGTATATCAACAAATGTATAATAAAATGTATAATGGTATTACTCCTTATCAATGTGAATTATATATGTGGGAACGTCAGATGAGAGATTTACGAAAAATTTATAGAGCACAATATTTGCATAAATTGAGTGAAGTTACTAATGAAGAAAGAGTTAAACAATTGAAGTTATTATTACAAACGAAAGAAGATAAAAGAAAAAGAAGAGAAAATATAAGAAACAGAATATTAGAAGATAAAAAAAGAAAAGCTATATTAAAAGATCGTTTAAATTTAGAAAAAAAAGTTACTCAATCAATTTTATTTAAAAGACAATCTAATAGAAAGAAGCAAAATATTTATTGGTTGATGAAATTGCAAAAGAAAAGTGAGTATTCAGATTCAGATGATTTAAAAAAAAAAATAGAGGAAAATATTGATGAAAATAATTTATTTAATCGTAATATTTCTGTAAGTAGTTTATATAAGGATTTAGGGTATGAAGTAAAAGAAGAAAAAAATGATAACATGAAAATATTTAAAGTGGACAAAATTTATAGAGAATTATTAGAAGAATCCTTTGAATTTTTAGATGAAGATGAAGAACAATTTGAAGAAAATTTACAGGAAAATGATGAAAATATTACACATAAGCAAAGAGCTCATATTTTATATTCTTCTTTTACAAATGAAGAAAAAATAAAACTTCTTGATGATAAAATAGCAATTCTTTCAAAAAAAATTGAAGAAAAATCATTTGCAAAAGGGATAGAAAATAATAACATTATGTTTTATATTCAATTAAAAGATAAATTAGAAGCGGCAAAGCAAGCATTTTTAGAAAAAAACTATTTAAAAAATATAAATAAATCTGAATAATAAAAATATATTTGTATATATTTATTAATTTTTTTTTTTTTTTTATTATTTCTCTATTTTCATTAATATTTTTATAATAAAATAATAAATATATTTATCAATAAGTTTATCATTTAATTAAATTTATTATATTATTCTGTATAAATTGATTTAAATTCAAATATTTTTATTGAATTATTTAATTTAAATTTGTTATTTAACAAAAATTTTATTTTTTTCAATATTTTTTTGTATAATTTTAATATAATATTTTTTTTCTTTTTCATATAATTTTTAAAATTCAATTTTTTAAGGTATTAGTAATTTTATTTATTTTTTTTTGATCTTTTAAAATTTTGTAACCTTATAATTATTTAACTTTACTTTTTATTATAGGAGATAGGTTTTCTTTTAATTATAAAAATAAATCATAAAAATATATCATAAAAATATATCATAAAAATATATCATAAAAATAAATCATACAAAAAAAATTTAACATTTAAAGAAGTTAATATTTAAAGAAGTTAATATATAATATCTAAAAACATAATGTATACTAGACAATCAAATATGTTATTTTTTACTTTTTAAATACTTCTATAAAATAATGAATATTCATATTATTAAATAATATTTTTTATTTTTTTTTTGTGTATACAATTTTTATTATTTATTCAAATTTATTCCAAATATAAGCATTCGCTAGGATAATGTGAATATGAATATTTTATGTGTGTTTTTTAATTTTTCATATATATATATATATATATCATTTTAAACTTTATAATTATTCTTACAACTTTATTGTATAAATAATAAGATATATATATACTTTATTAAAGAATGTTGTTATGATGTTAAAATATATTACTAAAAAAAAAAAAAAAAAAAAAAAAAAAAACCTTTATAAAATAAATTTAAAAAAATTTGAAATATGAAAACTTCACAAATTATAAATAAAAATAAGAAAGATATGGAAAAATTAAGAAAAGAAAGAAAAATAACAAAAAAAAATTATTAAAACAACTGTAATATTTATTACTAAAATATTTCATCTGTAAATAATAATTAAACAAATAGAATTACGATAAAAACAACTAAATAATAAAACACAAAAATAACAAGAAAAATAATAAAATATAAAACAAAGAAAATTTCTAATATATTTGTGTAATATGAAAAATGTTGAATAATAAAATATTAATAAGAATATATAATAAAATAAAAATACTAAAAAAAAAAAAAAAAAATGAAAAACTAAAAAAAAATAATACGTTATATATGTAATACAAATATCAAAAACACCCTATAATAATCCTAGTAATTTTAAAATTTAAATAAAAAAATTAACATATTAAAAAAAAAAAAAAATATAAATTATATCAATTTTAAAATACGAACAATAATACACATTCTTGAAATTATTTATTTATTTTTTTTTATTTTTATTTTTTTTTTTTTTTTGAGAATCCTTATCATTGATTAAATCTAATAAATTAATACTTACTGAACCCGATCCTATAGAAAATTTTTCTTCTGTTTTTTTAATAGTTTGAATTTGACTTACATTATTAATATCGCATTTTGTTTTAGCTATTTCAAGAAAACTTCTTTTAGGTAATTCGTTATCATCGTTCTTTGTATTTTTTATTTCAGTATTGTTAGATGAAACATTTTTGTTATTATTTTTTATAATATTTTTTGTATCATTTTTTTTTGAGTTATTTTTCTTATTTTTTTTATTCATATTTTTTCCAATATCTTCGCTATATTCAATAGGGTAATTAATTTTATTTGAATTAATTTTAATTAATTTTTTTCCTATTAAAAAATCATCATATTTGAACAATGTATCATCACCAAATTCTCCATCTAAATATTTTTCTTCTTTTGTATCATCATAAAAACTACATATAATTCATTAAAAAAAATTCATTATACAAATTAATATTCGTAAGTAAAATGTTAATAAAAATTATAATGATATTAAAAAGATAACAAAATTATATATTAATATTACTAAAAAAAAAAATTTTACTCCTATATATATTTTTATGTACATTTTGTAATATATATTTTTTTTTAAATTATTATATACTTTAATGTATTAGAGTAAATATCATTTGAGTTATATTCTATATTTATTTTGTTACTAGATAAATTCCAGTAACTTTTTTCTTTTCTTTCAATTTCTTCTTCCTATAAAATTAAATGCATATAAATATGTAAATAAATGTTCTTTTTCTTTTTTATTTTTTTTTTTATTTAATTACCGCTAAATATTTAAAGTGATTTTCTTCTTTTTTTTTTTTTTTCAAAATATTAATGTGCTTGGCTTTTCTTATAGATATTTCTTTCTAGATAGAATAAATTAAAGTTAAATATATAAATGAATGAATTAAAACAAAATAAATATTTCAATGTAATTTAAATCACCGAAAAATGATTTTTTGTTTTTTCAGATAACATGTCATCTATAAATAAAAAAAAAATATAAATATGCATATGTATATACAAAATTAGAAAAAGTGAAAAGCAAAATAAAATTATATAAGAAAAAATATTTTTCCAAAAGAATAAATATATTGTCCTAACCTAAATTTAAGGAAACAAACACAACATTAACTCCTAAAGGTAAATGAGATAAAATACAATACCTATAATAAAAAAAAATAGTTAATTGTTAAAAAAAAAAAAAAAAAAAAAAAAAAAAAAATTTATATAATTTTAATTATAATACTTTTTTCTCATTTTTTCATCTAGTTCAAAGGAATCAATGTACGTAATTTTTTTATTATACAAAAATGTTGGCAATTCATTCATGTTATAATCATATTCATAAAATAGTAATCTAATAAAAAAAAGCAAAATATTCAAAATATAAAAAGTAAATAAAAATATATAAGTAATATTAACTAGGGTATATAATTTTATCTCATTTTTAACTTTAATATGAATGGATCTAAATATATACATTGTCCATCTATACATTGATAAAAATATATTTCTGTAAATAAATTCAATAAGATATTTTTATAATATAAAATAATTTATATTCAAATATATATTTATATATATATATATATATTTTTTTTTTTTTTTTTTTTTTTTATATTAACG